ACACTTTCCACGTAATCTAATCACAACATCAATTGCATCATTTGGCTGGCTCTCTTTGTCTGCTTAAAGTTCTACACTACCATGACATTTTCCCTGAAGCTTTCTCTTTAATATATTATTTAACATTTACAGTTTTTATGTTTTGGTTAATGTAATAATGGTCACATTTGAATTATAAAGGCATGGTTCCTATCCTATACTTTACAGATAACGTCTCGCAAAACCCAGATGTACATTCAGAATGTGGCTGTGAAATCCCATGTAATTTTGATACATACGAGACAAAGGTGTCGTCTTCAAAATTCCCATCCAACGTCTCTATACAGTACATAATTGACCTCGGTTACAGTGGCAACGAAAAAATCCTAAGGTTTGTATAATCAATTGAAGATTGTCACCAAGTAAGTGTTTCAGACGACTTTAACAGGTTTCATAAAGACATCCAGAAACAAATTGAATTCATGGATGGATTTTAACATTGTAAACGGCGGAATATTAATCATATATATTATATCGACCAAATAATTAGCAAGTATTGAACGATCCATACATTTCAAATGTCACATTAATAAATGCATTGCACTACTACAACAGTGAGTGAGTTTAGTTTTACGCGGCACTCAGCAATATTCCAGTAAATAATCGAGTCTGGACCAGACAATCCAGTGATCAACAGCGTGAGTATCCATCTGCGCAGTTGGGAGCCGATGACATGTGTCATCCAAGTCAGCGAGCCTGACCACCCTATCCCGTTAGTCGCCTCTTACGACAAGCATTGATCACTGAAGATCAATATTCTAACCCGGACCTCCTAGGGTCCACTTCTACAACAGATGATAAGACGATGTTCATTTCTACATACATTATGTTCATTGAATCATTGTCCCACGTGTACATTTTCAGAGACAACTATTTGGAAATAAGAGTTTACTTTGAAAACCTCATGCTCCAGGTAACTGAACAAATCCCAAAGTATACCACCGAGACCGTCATAGGTATGTGAACCCCAAATCTCAAAATGTTGTTACTGAGAGTGGTTGATATTCGAACAGTAAAAACTATATATGTTGTAATACCAGCTTACCGTTTATGCACTTGTTTAAAATTATTCAATGTTGCTTTTGACAATTTGTGACATAGATACAATGTTGTAAAATCATGTTAAACATCCTATTTTGAAACCATTCAGTACTTGTACATCGTTAACGTACTTACATTGTATGTTTAAGCCCGAAAGTTTTATGAGAAACCAAAGCATGAAAGAAAAGGTTTTAACGTTTGATCATAGATATATTGACAAGGCTCGTTAACTGCTTTAACTCCCAGTGGGTGGGCGGCCATGGCTGTGGGGTGGACACTTTCTCAGTTGCATTACGAGCACTGGACTACTAAAATACCACACATGTACAGTCAGTGTAATGTGTATTCAGGCTAATAGTGATTTCGATACTGACTTGCTGATTTTCAAGTTATTTTACATCAAACATTTAATTCCATCAATTTCGATCTTTACTCGTGTGAAAAGGAGGAATTGCATTTCTTTCTAGGTAACCTGGGAGGTCAGATGGGCATCTGTCTGGGAGCCAGTATCCTGACTCTCACAGAACTCGGGGAGTTCTTTCTCATACTCTGCTTGTCCATCTTCAAACGAATGCAGAGAGGTGGAGAGATAAAGCGTATTAAACCCATCACCAAATGAAACAGACCGATGTCCAAAACCACGATTCAAGCTAACAATTTGAAGTCAAGTCTTTAGTTCTTTTAAAATTCTTTCAGTTTCATTTACATTTGTGTTTGTGTTTGTTTGACATCATATGCTTATTCTATAGTGGAAAGGGGAACGGACATATGTCTCAAATGATTTGGGGGTTTTTCAATTTATTTTTATTCACTTCACTTGGATACAATCATCTTTGTTTGATACACTCTGTAGACATAATGTTATATAATGATACAATACACGAAGTGGTTTATCTCTTTGTTACAATTTGCAGTGAGAATAATGGTCTATAGAAGAGGCACAATGCAGATAAGCTTAATGATTAAGACTATTCGATTTTCTCTCAGATAATTTGTCTCCAATGTTTCTTCAATTACATTCGATGTATGTACTGCACTGTATGCTTATATTTCTCGTATATGAACCACCGTGTTTAATAACATTTGTACAGATGGATAAGCCTTTTCTTAATATGTCATGCATGACACTTGCAATGAACATAGATGACATGTCAAATGCATTTGGATAATCCTAAATGGATAGGGTGGTAAAATACTGAGGCTTTATGGATTTCCGCGTCATTAATGTTATTGTATTTTAATTTTGCGCTAGTGATGCACGTAGCAAATCCATGGTTTAAACTCGATTGTATGTATGCCGACACCATGGAACCATATTATGGCTGTGTGCGGCGTTAGTCAACAAAGCATAAATCCATAAAGCGAATGACAAAAAACCGCCTTGATGTCTTTGCAAACCTTTATGGTTTACTTATTTCATAGTCAACATGTAATTTTCGTTTTGTTTACTCTCAAATCAATTTTGCTTATAAATCAATAATATCGTGAACAGTTTTATGCCACCATCCGATTGTCAGCTCAGTTCGTTGACTAGACCCGAGTACAATTCATTCTGCACGAATTATTGTGTGTGTTACAATGCTAACTAATTCATACCAGTCTTTGTGATGAAATAGCAAATCCTATCTGAATTGATCGTCAATTGCTGGCAATAGGTTATATTCCCAACTTAATATGGTTTCATGTTTGTCAGTACGCTACCCGTTGTGATGGGATTATGGAAAAGTCTAAACAAATCTAAGCATTGACATTCGTCTCAATTCATATAACTGACAGACTATTCAAAGTGATGTTACACCCAGCTCACTCACCAGTACTTATGAAACGTAAAGGGTATGAAAGAGTCTTTGTTCAATCTACGGATGTGATTATCTACATATACAAAGATATAATGTCAATGTTTACAAGCAATCAGTTCGTAAATTAGGACTAAGTACGTTTACCTTCCACTGCCAGGTTTAATCTGCACTTATTGGTGATATTAACCGACAAACATGAAGCCAGATTTGTGAATAACCTAGACAGGAAAATTAATCAATAAACCATGAGCATAAGAAGAATATGTTCCCATGTGACGCTTCGTGGGTGGTTTTAGTGTCTCCTGGTGGCTTGCTTTGTTTTTCTACTCACAACCAGTAACTGGTAATCTCCTAAATCCCATGAATCCATTTTTGACATCACAGGCATTCATATTGCTGCAGTAGCTCCTGGAATTATGTCACATGTTAAATTAATCCCTATAAAACTATTACATACATGTAAGACAATTGGGACGATTATAGTAAAATGTCTTCCTCTATCAACTCCTGTGCCTGAAATATGTATATACTTCATCTAGATATTGGCAGGTCCTTAAATCCCAGACAATGTACAAACACTGATCAAACTTGAAATGTTTCATGGGTGGTTTCAGAACAAAACTGAAACTGAAACATAAGAGGAAATGGTGATGACGAATTAGGTCTTGATGTTATTCCAGGTTATGATGATAAAAGTCTAATGGAGATATAAGAGAGTAAAACACTTTGGTTTAAACAAACTTACAATCCACAAAATACCTGGTTCAATCATGATAAGAAATAAATATCTGATTGCATATTTGCCTAAATTCTTAACTACAGCTTGTTCAGCTTGACCTGATCAAGTGAATACTAATGAATTGCCTGACCGTGTCACAACTGGTTGGATCTATTATTGTGAAGGGGTGCACCTTTGTCAGATGATTGGTGTAAACGAGTTGACTGATTGTTGTGCCTATTGTTGAAAATTTGGAAGCGACTATTGGGACAGAAATATTGCAGTTGAACATGAAATAGAAAAAGTGATAACTGAAGTGCTGTTTTCCGGGACAGGTTCTGTACCAAATCTATGTATGCATGCTTTTCACGGACGCAAAATTAACAACATTCTCTGCACCCCTATTTAATGAAGATAACCCTATCTGCCGTTTGTGCCATTTGACCTCCAGGGTAATGCATATGTAGGTAGCTCAGGTCAAGCTGACTGACTGACTGAGTTTAGTTCTACGCCGCCTTTAGCAATCTTCCAGCAATATCACGGCCGGGGACATCAGAAATGGGCTTAACACATTGTGCCCATGTGGGGAATCGAACTCAGGTCTTAGGTGTGAGCCAATGCTTTAACCACTAGGCTACCCCAACGCCCCTTCAGGTCAAGCTGAACAAGCTGTACATACTTATTAAACACTGTTTTACAAGATGTGTGGCTAACGGGATTTCTCTTCAGCCACATTACAAGAAAAGGGCAAGTGAAATTTCATACCTTTCATGAAGTGATTGAAGCGTCTCAGAAATCATTAGACTTGTGCTCTGACTTGTCAACAACAGTGCTCGCATCATCATTGTAAGTTCTCACGACACTCGCGAACCTCCCAGAACCAAGGTGAATAAAACTAAACCTAAGCTATTAAATGAAAAGCTGGTTTTCTGCACCGTTTTCTCAATAACGTCATGGTTACACATGATAAACTGAATTTGTTGATTCAACTTTGAATAAAACCACTCCAATTAACTTTATTAAATCGATATTGGAAGTGTGTGTTTTCGATTTCATATATATCGTTTCTGGTCGCCTTTTGAGAAAAGGCGCAATGCCTATTTTGGCAAGCCATTTGTCACTTTATAACGTGTCACTGAGGTTCGGAAAAACAAACAAGATTACATTGTACTGAGTTATGATATTGTTTAATTTTTAATATTATATAATTAAATAAGACATGTTTTATTTAGGACACTCCCCTTTTTGTGTTTTAATTTACAGTAGTTGAGGATTGTTTATAATCTATGTCTAATAACTTTGTTGGGGGTTGTTGAAGGGTCACCTATTTTTGTTCTGGGGAGGTAGGGAATCAGCAATATTGTACATAAATATATCTAATCATTATACTTGTGGGGTAATGAAATTTGTACATGGGGGGGGGGGGCACTCACTTTATACATAAATTTTAGTGGGGCGTCATACGCATTGAATTCACCACAAACACACACACACACACACACACACATTCACACACACACACTACCCCTTCCAGCCTTAAATTATGAACAGTCCTTAACTCAGGTTGAAACGGTTCGACGTTTGTTGGCAGTACTGTGACTGTGGTTGCTCAGATGACTCATTACACTCCAATTTGATTAATTGTCGGCATGTGACGTTGAACTCGGCCCTTTTTCACGTAACGTTCGTAGCCCTGCGAACGTCTTAAGCCCATTCTTAACACATTGGCTACGATCAAAGTTGAGAATTCTTAAGGATACGAACGTTTCGAGAATACGGGCCCAGTTTCATTAGGGGTACGACTGTCAGCTTAGACTGAGGTTTTCGGCAAGTATGGTTCAAAGACATGTGAAGGCTTAAAACCAACATAAAGACACGTTTTGAAGAGGAGGTCATCTATCACCTAATGCGTTTCCGTCAGAACTTTATGCTTCAGACAATGGATGCTAGTGAACGATTGTGATTGCCATACATACTTTAACCGCATGCATTATAGTAGAGCTTCAATAGGATTGGAGGGTGAAACATTATAACTACAAGTACATTGATTGCATCGTATACATGATTTGATGCACGACATTCAACGGAAAATTTGGAAAAAGTAAAATATCATTCCAATACAAAATCATCCTATCATTAGGATACTTTCTAGTGGATGTTCTCCTGAAAAAAACATAACATTTAAAGTCGATTGATGAACTTGAAGTACATGCTTGCAGTGTCTTAGTGAATTATTTCCATCTGGGCGGTTGTGTATGATTTTACGTGTGCATCACAGCACACAGCCACAGTCCGGTCGTTGAAGGAGATATTCGAGAGTCAATCAAACATCTTCTATTATCACTTCAAGTTTTCAACAAATCTATATCACAGTTTTCAATGGTAATAGTATAGTTGTAGTTTCTGTTGTATGCGGACTGCTGCTGATATCATAACATATCATAAATTATTCTGTGTTAAAATGAGTACCAATCACTAGTTGCCTGGATATGTGCGCTACATAAATATCGTATAATGATAATAGAGTAATTTTTCTCTTGACGAGCCGTTTGGGGACCTTGTGAAACTTATCAACACTTTTGCACAGGGTTCATTAAGCTTCATCAGAATACCAGACGATAGCTACAGTTTGAAAGAGTTTCATTTTCAGTCAGTCGTGGTTAAAATGTAGTTAACCAACCGGTAGAAACAATAGAGGATTATTTCATCGAATTTAGAGCCTTCGAAAATAAATTTGCACTAAGTTGTTTCTACCGTTTAAAGGCTCGGTGCAAGGCTTTGCAACAGCTGAGAACATCTGGTATTACCATCAGCCCAAACGTAAAAGACAGTAACACTATTCCAAGTGTGCCAACATTTTGGGCACTTTTTCTTTCGTCAGGGGCACTAGTGTATTTGCGTACAGTTTTCGACAAGGTTTTGGTGTCCAGTATCAGTTCTTCCTTGATCTCTTCGGTGAACGCTTTCACTGCTTCTTCATCCAGAACCTCGAGACGATCACCCTTGCAGAGACAGACGCATACACGTGAAGTAGAGTCTTTGAGATTGTTAGTCTTCAAGGACACACTAGCCATAATTTCCCCTGAGGCTGTGAATTCAGCGCCTAATGTAGTGACTATTGAAGGTAAGTCATGAGAAACATCCTTTTGGATCGGACTTGTTGATACAGATGAGGGGATCAGTGGCATTACAGTCAAGATTGTGTCTTGCAGGAGTGTTGATGCTGATACTCCATCCACGTTCAAAGTCATTGACATTGTATTTGCTGCTGATGATGATGCAGAATAGATTCCTTGTTGGATCGGACTTGTTGATACAACTGGTGAGATTTGGGACATTAGAGAGGTTGTTATCGTTTCCGATATTGACGTTGTTGCATACGCATTTGTCGAAGACATATGTAGTCCGGTCGCTGCATTTATTGCTTCTGTGGAAGGTAATTCTGTGAGATCTAGCCCTGAATTTGTGGTGATAAAAGTATCGGTTGTCTCAAAAGAAGGGGCACTTGTCTCCGGACTTACTGACGTCAGTGTTGGAGTTTCTGGAAGAAGAAAAACAAAACATTTTAAGTGTTGAAATGTATCGGGGGAAAATCACCTTATTCTTATTGAAGTACCTGGAATAACACGATCCTGTATGCAGTGCAGGATGTTGCTGGATATTGCTGGAATATTGCTAAAAGCGGCGTAAAGCTAAACTCACTCATGCCGACTAAAAATAATTTTGAATACTGGTGTCTTCTATACGGTTTAACCCGTCGGCCGACGATAGCGTTCCAGAGTTACCTCCCCTTGACCGTTGTTTATGTGTTGACTGCGTCATGTCGTGGAGTTTTCAACAGATTTCGGGAAAGTTCTGAGTGGATAAAGAACGTTCAAGAATTTGTGTCAGTATATATACATGCTGGCTGTTGTGTTGTGCGACAAGGAATGACACAAGGACTGACACACGGAACTGACACACGGAATTACACGGGACTTTTTATGTCACTGGAGTTGCCTGCTATCGTTGTTTTGCCTTCGTCAACATAGTCTGACCCTTACACTTCGTGCCTGACTGCTCTCATTTGTAAACAAGCTTGATTTAGAATATCAGATCTCAGAAGGCTCGTGGTGAATTTATTTTTTATATTTATGACTCAACACTTTAGATTTGGTACTCACTTGCATTGTACTAGAAATCTGTATTGTGATTCATTTTATCTTGCTCATTGTTTGCTCAATATATTATTGAATATTTTAGACTTTTCTGTGTTATATTTTGCTGGTTCAAAAGGAGATTCTTAAACCTTTTGTCACAGCAATTATTTAACCGTAACAAGAGGAACAGATGTTAATGGCTATTGACATATACATCTTTCAGTGGTGAATAACATCGCAAATAGCCAAATGGAAAAATGGCATGACGTTTATTTACAGCGAGTTATTTACCCAATGACTGTGATTGCGCAGTCACCCTTATTGAAACAGTGAGTAAATGTTGCTTTAGGCCAACACAGCAATTTGGCAGCTATTCGCGGCTATTTATTGAAAGAAAGAGGCGACCAGAAAATATAATTTAATGAAAAACCACTCTTCAAGCTGCCCTTTAGTATTGCAATCAAAATACCGTGCGATAGCGATATGAAATTATCAAGATAACACATGACATTCTTGTCTTTAAAACTATTGATATTTATGAGTAGAATTCACATTGAAAGTGATGGGAACTACCTCGGCGAGAATACTGCGGATCAGCCTCGCCATTAGGATTTCACATTGTGGTCTATTGTGTTCGAGAAGGTAAATGACTGCTTTCTCTTTTGAGCATGATCCTACACATAGTTTTGTTCAACATCTCACATGTTAGAGCACCGAACAATGTCAGGTTTAACATCGTTGTGCTCCTGGTCCCCGAAGTGTTTCACCATTGGATACATCCATTTCATTACTGCCACAGACCGTTTCACTATCGAATTAATGTGCAATAGTGTGAACGTGATATCATCTATAATCATAACACCAAAACTCCGAAAGAAAACTAGTAACCAAGTCACGGTCCAGTCTCTCATTTATAGAAGTGGTTTTGCCTTGTTGTTGAGAGAACAGCACTGAGCACGCGATTGCCACACAGTCTGTTAGGTGTTAAGTTATTTAGGCTAAGATCAATCAGGTTAATTATCAACATTGCAGCTCTTATAAATGGGAGTCATGGTGACTCACAATATTTACTTTTTGGTGTCATTTTCAATATTTAGGAGACATGAAAATTTTAATATTTCTTTATGTTAATCATTCTAAGGATGTAACTGTGTATGTCACACCACCAAATGAATCTACAGCATTGTTCAATCAAACAGCCAGGATTACTGTCTCCTCTGTACTCGGGAACAATCTGACAGCTCTGTAGACGTCAAACTATCATCGAACAATATCTTATTTTGCTTATCAAATCGATTTTATTGAACTGAATTGTGAGGGCCACCCATAAAACATGCGTCAAGCTTGACTCTTATAATAATATTTTGAGAGTTGTTTACAAAATTGTAGCGTCAAATACGCAGGAATCACGCGTCATGTAAACCCTGGGATATGCTGAGACGGAAAACAACCCAAGCAATTATACAGTGCACACTCTGAAGATGAATCCTGTTCGCTGTCAAATAAAAGCAGTATTTGTTGAATGCTGTATCGATATAATACACCCCTGGCAATTCACTTTCGAAATGGGGCGGTGGGGTAGCCGAGTGGTGAATGCGTTCGCTCGTCACGGCGAAGGCCCCGATTCGAGTCTCCACATGGGTACAATGTGTGAAGCCCATTTCTGGTGTGCCCCGCCGTGATCATGCGGGAATATTGCTAAAAGTGGCGTAAAACTGGACTCACTCACTTTCGAAATTATTTCAGTCGCAGTTATATATACGCATCGCTATGTTCATGTTTTATGACAGATTGTATTATCCACGTTTGTTTCGTCCACACCCAGTATCATCAACTGTACATGTATTTTCTGTTATCATCCAATACTGGTTTCCAGAGGATGTATCGTTTGTAAATGATCAAGAGATTTCTCCAAGGAGATATCGCTTTGATAAGTTTTGGGCTAATTGCTGGTCAATATTTTCGGACTACTTTCATCTCCCTCAGCTGTAAACAAAGATGGCCACCGCAACTAAGCACCTGCGTTCATCATTTCATTTAACGACACCAAAATTTACTTAAAATGCGACCAAGAAATGGTGAAACTTACGCATTGCAGAATGTAACGCAATAAATGTTGTCAAAACTGTTTTTATGACCTTGTTTCTATGACGTAATAGTGTCACTAGTTCCTTCTTCCCTAACTCTTGTTCAATCGCATGTATTCATACGCAAGTCTACAAATGAACTTGTTAGAGGTGACGTTTCGTTTTTAATTTCCCTTTAACGACAAATAAATTATGATACTGGATTATGACATTCTCTATCTATTGTATTGCTATTTTATTATAGTATATATATATATATATATATATATATATATATATAAGAAGAAGTTTCTGAAATAATTACACAACACGGATCTTCTCCAACATGTTTCACTTTTATCTTCAGGGAGAAGTGATTACAGTTAAACGGATTATGTTATGACGTCAATTTGTCATGACGTCACAATGCAACTGTATACAAATGTTGTGACGCGGCGTTGCCATGACGTCACATTGGCGGCTTTATATTGACAGTACTAGTAGCACAATGAAAACAAGTATAATTCAGACACATTGCGTTACCTATTTAACGATGGACACAATTCTTTGATGAAAAAGTTTTCTTTAGCTTTACGCTGCATGGCGTCAGCAGTATTCATTTTATAGAAAGGGAATATTTTAAATTTTATTTCCTTTCCTGCTGCGCAATTGTCAATGTGAGCGCTTAAGGGGATGCACCTTGTTTGTCGCCAATTTGTTCTAAAGTATTCAGCGACTTCAGGTCCTAACTGTTCTTTCACTTTCGTTTCCAGAGTTTGTTCCAAATAACCTAAAACTAACGCAGCATACGTGGGTGCCATTTTGGTTCCCATTGCTGTACTTTATACATGAATTTCAAGTCTATAATCACAAGTTCCCATCAAAATTAAATGTATTATTATTCATAGAAAGTGTTACATTAGTTTTAAGAACGGCTTTAGGACCTTAAGAAGTCGCTGAATACTTTAGAACAAATTGGCGACGTTTTCTTGACGATTGCTTCATGTTATGGCCCTTTGGAGATGAAAAATTAACTCTGTTTTATAACATCCTAAATAAATTGAACAAACATTTACATTTTACCATGGACTCAAATTATTCTGAAATTCCATTTTTGGACATCATGGTAAAACTATGTGGACGTAATCTAGAAACAGATATATATTATAAACCTACAGATACTAAACAATACCTTCATTTTTCATCTTGCCACCCGAGAGTCATATAAAGAGAAGCATTCCCTATAACTTAGCAAGACGTATCTGCATGATTGTGTCACAAATACCGACAAGGAACATACGACTTGCAGAACTAAAATCATATCTACAGTCCGTGGATACCCAGTTCTTCTTGTGGAAGATGGAATAAAGAAAGCAATAAACATAGACAGAAGGACACTGTTGAAAGTTCGTGATAAACAAATAAATAACACTGTCAATCTGGCCTATGTTTCAACGCACAACCCCAAGAATCCGGAACTTTTTCATATCATAAGACAAAATGTTCCAATTTTAAATGCTGATATGAAAATGAATCGAATTATGGCTCATGTAACAATGATAAAGAGTAAACGCCAAAGCCGTAACTTAAAACACATATTGACACGTGCCACATTCGACTCATGTATTAAACCTACAGAATTCAGTGTCTCAAAATGTAAACGGGGAAATTGTGGAACTTGTGAATATATACTTGAAACTTCATGTATAAAGTTTAAAAACAGGAAACAATTATTTCATGTACGCTCTAACATGGACTGCTCCGCAAAACATATTATTTATGTTATTATATGCCAAGGGTGTCATGAAGAATACATTGGACAAACGGAGTGCTTGAGGGGACAGAATGCGCGTCCATAAACAACAGATTAAGGACCCCAAAACAAGGTGCATCCCCTTAAGCTCACATTGACAATTGCGCAGCAGGAAAGGAAATAAAATTTAAAATATTCCCTTTCTATAAAATGAATACTGCTGACGCCATGCAGCGTAAAGCTAAAGAAAACTTTTTCATCAAAGAATTGTGTCCATCGTTAAATAGGTAACGCAATGTGTCTGAATTATACTTGTTTTCATTGTGCTACTAGTACTGTCAATATAAAGCCGCCAATGTGACGTCATGGCAACGCCGCGTCACAACATTTGTATACAGTTGCATTGTGACGTCATGACAAATTGACGTCATAACATAATCCGTTTAACTGTAATCACTTCTCCCTGAAGATAAAAGTGAAACATGTTGGAGAAGATCCGTGTACGGAAGTTTATCTGGGCAGGACAGTCCTATGACTGACATCGTGATCATCAATCTACGTATCGGGATACGATGGAAACAAC